TATATATATATATATATATATATATATATATCATATTTTATATAAAAATATAAAGTAAAATGGTGAAAACTTGTATAATTTAAAGTAAAATTTATGAATATTTACATTTGTTTTTGAATTTTTTTATGAATAACTCTAAAAATTAATATGAGACGATGCCATGAATCCCCAAAATATTAAGTACGATACATTATTAAAATAATTTGAATTAATTTAAAAAAATTCATGCTTAAAATACAATAAAATTATTATATATATGACATTTTAGTTAAAACATATCAATACAAACTTATTTTTGCAATGTTTTGTGAACCTAAATTTTATTTTCGGGTCGCTGCCCCGAACCCCGAAATTTTAGCTAGCCCCCCCCCCCCCTACATGTTCATCCTGGTTCCGCCCCTGTGTATAAATCAACCTCTTAGCAGTGTAATTTGCGCAAGGAAGATCATAGAACAAAATCGTTCTTGAAGGAGACTCCGCCGTGGCAGCAATCTGTGATGGATGTGAAGAATGGTCGATGTACGGAAACATTATCACAGATATTCATGCCCTTGCAAACTCGTTTGAGCATTTTTTGTGCCAACCATATCCGAAGAAATGGGAATCGAGTAGCACATAATATTGCTCAACGCTGTTTTCAAGATGATTTTTGTGCTGATTCTTTAACTTTTGAGATTCAACATTTTGTAAACACTGATTTGACGTCATAATATAAATCGTCATTTTCGTTCTAAAAAAAATGATCAAATAAAATATTGGAATAAAATTTGATAAAATTTTAAATATTTATCCTCTAATATAATATTTGTATGGATTCTTGTCCACGTTAGTCGTTAAAACTATATTGTTTCTCTTAAAGTCTTATGTGTATAATAGAAAATTTTAAGAAATGAATGAATTATTAAGTTCAATTTAAATTATACTTAATTAACTCTAAAAATATATTATTTTGTATGTTATGTATAAAGTTCTACCAATACAATGTTTAACATATATTTCAAATACTAAATTCGTTAAAATTATATTGTTTCTCTTAAAACTCTTATGTGTATAATAGAAAATTTTAGGAGATGAATAAATTATTAAGTTTAATTTAAATTATACTTAATTAACTCTAAAAATATATTATTTTGTATGTTATGTATAAAGTTCTACCAATACAATGTTTTAACATATATTTCAAATACTAAATTAATTTTAGTATAAAATAAAATAATAGATAAATGGATAATATTAAGTTTAGTAAATTAATTGAGTGATCCTTGTTAATTATTTTAATATTTAATATACTAAAGATTCATCCGTTAATTTACTTAATTTGATGATACGCTAGTATGGGCAGGCAATCTTCATACATTTGTAATAGGGAGAATGTGAGATACTCCATAGTTTTTAAAATGTATATGAGGAGGTCCAATGAATTTTTTTGTCCTATTAAAAAAACTCAAATTCTAATTTTAATTTGACAAACCCCCTGGACAACTTGAAGTACATGTTTTGCCCGTTTAGTTACAATTTAATATCCAAAACCCCAAGACCTAACATCAGATCGTGATTTATCTTCTCTTTCTCTCTCAACTCTCGTTCTCTTCTCTCTCTCGCCGCCTACCGCCGCTTCCCCATCGTCTCCGCAATCTCCGCCGTCGCACCTTTTCGCCGTGTCGGAACGTCAAATCGCCGCCTTGAATCTCCATAGCCGGTCTAATCGGATCTTGGTGCAGGGTTTCATGGTTGCTCCTTAATTATTTGTGATATAGTTCTACAAAGAACGCCTCGATGCCCTTCAAGTATATTTTTTTGCATAGATAGATTATAGATGTATATATCAGTCTTTTGATTGGATCCATTTGTGCTTGTTTGTGATTTTTTTTTTGTTTGGATCCGTTTTTATATACGTTTGTTGATATGTATGATTTTTATTTTTATTTGTGTTCTTGGATCCGCTCCTCCTTCAATTGCTCCTCGGAATTTGTGGAGTTCTCTGTCGCCGTCGCCATGAAATTAGAGGCCAAAGTCACTTATGAAGAAGAAGAGAGATAGATATTTGATCCTCTCTATAATTTGCTCTCTTTAAATCTTGACTTTGTTGTTTTGAAAACGACTAGTAAAATATTTTGATATATTTGTCTTGAAGATACATATAATGGAGAATTGTAAGAGAAATGCTCTAATTTATGGATCTATATTATGATCATGAAGTGACAACATAAAAACTCAAGTTGCACTCGTAATAGCAAAATAAAGATTTTTAATAGCATATCGTACTATAATACGAGTTGTGAGCTAATACAAAACTCGTTCAACTGTTGTTATTCTTTGAAAGTGAAAACAATAATATTAAAAAATTCAAAGAGATATGTTGACATGAAAAGCTATGATGGTGCTCAAGCTTATTCACTATAAATTTTATCTCGTCATTACAAGTGGAAGAAAGACGAGAAATATGAAAAATGATTGGTCATATATCCATTTCACGATAAAGCATGTTGATAAGTTTTATCAAGCACCAACACAAAAGCAAAAGAAATTGCGTTGATTTTGGAGTCACGAGATTGACCAATGCAATTGAAGTTGCAAGTTTCACTCCAATCTATGGAGGTATGTACATGATTTTTTTTTATATAATTGATCTAGATAAGATGAAATTTCAAACCAAAAAAAAAAGGGGGATCTGATTTTCTTGTTAAAATTTCAAACCCTTCACATCATCTGCATATTCTCATTTTTCAAAATTTACAGTTTACTTCATTTTAGTCCTCAGATTTGAAAAGTTTTTCAGAATATGCAGCTCGTTCCTTTCATCATCCGCAATTATGAATAGATTTCAGCATTTTCAGTTTTCACTAAAGTATTTGAAATTGCAGCCTTGTCCATAAATTTTCAAAATTTACAGTTTGGTCGCTCAATTTTCAAAATTTACATTTTGGTCCCTGAATTTTCAAAATTTTGAAATTTGATCATTTATGTTCCGAACCTGTTAGATTCTCAAACGTAGTTACTTTCATCTAGATAACATTCTATATCACATGGTTTATTTATTATTTATGCTATGCAATATTTTGCACCCCTAATGGAAGATATTTATATGGCATACATTGTCAATTACTATTGTAATGAGACAATTTTCCCGCCGTTAAGTGGGAGATAAGAAGCCGGTTCTTGTATAACGGCGTGAATTATATGAAATAATCTTTGCATCTAGATTTGTGCATGGAAATATTTAATCACAAAAGAAAAAAAGAATTCATTTGCAACAATTTTAATGTGTAAAATGCTAGATGCATTTATCGACAAAATGACAACTTGAAATTATTACATAATGTCCAAGAAAGACACATTACACATTAGATTTTGCGATGAAAGGTTTTTAAACGAATGTCCTCAAAGGACAAATTTCACATTGTGATTGCATCGTGAATCCCTAAATGGGTGAAAAATAATTATGGTACACAACTAACCAATTATAATTTATGCATATAAGAGGGGGAGATATATATGTTGGTTCGAATGATTAACACACTTATAAGTGGTGTGAATACCGTTCAATTAAAGTCTAGTGGCGCTAGTAGCATCATACTCTCATCCTATTAATTATCTCATTCATGAAAGGATTCGTCTTAAAGACGATGTTGGGGGACGCCTCAACACCAATATCAATTACTATGATATGAGAATACTTTCCAGTTATGGTGGCATAAATGAAATCCATATTTGGATGAGAAAATCATCGATGATTACATGGTAGCTACCGAGATCATTTTAAATCGAACTATTATGTGTCAATAAAGAGTTGATTGACAAATAAATCATGGTTAACTTGCTCTCTAAGTGAATAGAGAGGCATTTGAGACATTAGTTCTCAATTTTGTTGTTGTACCGATATACTATCTTAAATAATTGAAAATTCTTTTTGAATGAATATTCATGTACCAAATTGAATTTGATAATATTGAGTTTGAAAATAAAGTGGACATATAGTCCTAAATACTCCTTCCACATTGTGAAACTCAAAAGCGCGCATTTTTGTCCATGTAGGACATTTTTATTGAAACAAATCATTAGCTCAAGCACATATAGCATTATGAAAAACTTTATTGATGCAATATAGAATTCTCTATAAGAGAAAAATACATGGTACATGAAAAGATATGGATCTCTAGAAGAGATCGTACCCGCAAAGGCTACAATCCCCATTTATATGAATATAATTCTCTAAGGAGAATCCGGTACCGGAAAGTAAAATAGTGAGCTCTTGAATGATTATAAAGAAATATGGGGTATACGAAAGATATTATCGAATAACTATATGTACATTATAATGTGAAGTGCTTGAAGCTCGTACATTTTAATTGATGTCGACATCTAATTGGTCATTAGTATATGCATTCACAAATGCAATTGACCATGATTATTTGAAATTATTGATGAAATGAATTGTACATTGGCTTGCGGTCATCAAACATAAAATTGTGAAAGCCTTTAGTGAAAAAGTGGGTAAAATCATTGCGGTAAATTTGAATGCCTTTGAAAATATATTTTTATGATGCAATCATTTTATGATGGTATTCAAAATATTTGGCATACATCATATGGATGCAATTACCGCATATCTATATGGATCATAAAATTAATGAAGAATTGATAATGCGTTGTGCATATAATAAGAGGTTTCGTGAGTCGTACTCTAGAAATGATCCATTTACACATTATCTTCAAAATATGATACATTCACCTCAGTGAATACATGTCAAATAATCTAACTTATCATTATCATGGTATAGATGTGAATGACCTAAATCTTGTGGAGACTCGCGAAGAGCTCACAAAGATGGTCAATTATTTGGTAACATAATTTGAGATGAAAAATAGTGGGAGGGCAAAATGCATCTCGAAAAGAAGATCTATCAAATGAAATCTATCCATGAATACATATAAGAAATAGATAAGACTCATCTATTGAGTGATATGATATTTGTCCAATCATTGGATATAATTGAAAATCTTTTAAGCCCTCGAGAAGATAATGAAAGAATTACAATTTGCAAAAAGTGTAAAATGTGTATTACACTATCTTTATGGAAACTTTCGTGAATCTTAAAGCAGATATAGTTGGCTATATCAAAGTCAAACAATAAATTATCATATTCATATATCGGAGTATTGCCAACTACTTCATTGAGAAGATGATTAAAAGTCATATGTTAAAATGAGGGGGAGCATGAGCACTACTTATAACAACACTGTACTATTTTTCCTTCGACCAAGTTTTTATCCCAGTGGGTTTTTCTTGGCAAGGTTTTAACGATGCAGTGTCACACTCGCAAGTTTCACATGGATATGTACTATTTTCTCCTTCGATTAGGTTTTGTCCCAATGGGTTTTTCTAACAAGGTTTTTAACGAGGCATATTCCATAGCTGGTGGACATTCAAGGGGGAGTATTATGAATTCTTAAAGGTGTGGATGACCACCATTACTCCCACCATTTACTCACCATCAAGGTTGTATAATATATTTCTAGATATTATTTATAAATACTAAAAACATATATAAAAAGATATTTAAACATAGTTAAATCTCCATCATGTATATATCCTAATAACATAATAAAAGCTTAATAATAATAAGATCATAATACATAAATATCCTTAAAAAATATAAATAAAAAGGTAATATTTTTTAATTTACATTTATTTTTATTCTTGAACATTCTTCGCGTACATAATTAGTTATTTAACAATAACAGTTAACATAAACAAAATAAAACATAAATTCATTTTTTTTTTATTAAAATCCCAACTTTTATTTTGAATTATAAAAAAAAAAACCGCCTCCGCCTCGGAGACCGATTAATCGGCCGCCTCGGCCGATTTTTAGAACACTGCTCACCATTATAGGCCTATAACTCCTTGTTACTCATGACCTTTCATGGTCTTACTTGTACTATATATAGTGATCCATTGTATTGAGTTGGACACACAAGAAGAACAAGGAAATAATATATACTTGCTTCTCTATCTCTATATTACTATTTCAATTCATCTTTATTTTGTTCTTCTTTATTAGTTTCTCAACAGTTAGTAAGTTTTCGTGCTCGAATTCTACAAAAAAATTGAGGAACAGTACGGATTTGGAGCTAAACAGTTCGAAATCTTAAATAAATTTGCAAATTCGAGCTAAAGAAATGGAATGATTTTTATTATTTTTTTTGGTTTCAATCTTAACTAGCATTTTCCCCCGTGCGATGCACGTGGTAGCATTTCAAAAGCGAAAATAATGATTAGTTTAATACATGCCAATAGCAATTATAATAAAATTTGTTAGTGATATCGGTACAACATTAATATTTATACAAATTTAATAATATACAAACTCATTATGAAAAAAAATATATAAACTTAATTGTCATTATATAAAATTGATCATTACTTCATTCCGAAACTAAATACAAACTTAATTATCATAATATGAAATGTATCATTAAATAAACTAAGCAAGAAATAATTAGAGAAAATAGACTGCAAAATAGGAGATAAAAATAATAATAACAATATATATAGTATTGTTTTTTCAAGAAATGCTTTTTGAAAGTGATTATGAGCTTTTTTTGCTCATAATCTGTTTTCAGGTGTTTGCAAAATGAACTTTTGCTTTTGTTTCTCTTAAAATAATCTGCTTTAAGCTATTTTTTAAAAAACACCCCTAACACTGCTTTTTTTCATTTAAGTTCATTTTCCGGAATATTTGCAAACACCCCCAACTTTTTGAAATAAACACTTAAAACTAACTTAAATCACAATTACTAACTTCTGCTTTTAAATAATCATTTGCAAACATTTATGTAAACTTGTTAAAATTTACCTCTAATCGACGTGGTACTTGCCGATTGAATGCGGAGAGTTTAAGAGAGTTTAGGAGTGTGTTTTGAATTTTAAAATAAATGAAATATTTCTTAGGCCGGGAAAAAGCCCTCTCAGAAAAGCATTTCAGTATTTATTTACAAGGAAACCAAATCAATTACGTCATTTATCTTTAATATATGTTGATTGATGACTCATTAACTGCGTTTGTTAAGCCAATGTATAAAACCATTGGGGGTTTAAGAATAACATCGAATCACGAATCACGAATCACTCTCTCTTTCTCTCTCTCTCTCTCTCACAGGCACACACAAACTAGGGTTTAAAGAGAGAGAAGGATCAGTGATATAAACCAAGTAGCTGTATGTATTTACTCTAGTATTGCTGTTCCTGACAGTCTCTACTTGCGATAATGGCTTTCTGGGGTTAGCCTTCTCCTACCGCCTGCACCTCTTTCACTGCGTGTGTGTGTGTTTTTATGTAGTTTGAAAATGATTGAGTTGTCTGTGAATCTGTTTCTGAAAACTCGATAATTTGTTTTCTGCAAATGTGTTTCCTATGTTTTTAAATTGTTTACAGAACCGAGAAATAGAGTTTTAGTGTGTGAATGTCTTTTTTTCTTCTTCTGTTTCATTTATTTATTTATTTTTTTTGTTTTGTGTTTCAGGGATAGAGGTAAAACCGGGAAAGCCAGTCACTCATTCATGTGAAAAAGCTAGGGGAAGGCTTCGAATTTCGCTGGTATTAATTAATTTTTGGAATAACATATCAATTTTAAACTCTTGTTTGCAAATGCATTTTGAATGAGGCGATGTTAGATGCGTACCTTGATTCATGCTTTCGTATTATGGCCATAAATTTGATATTGCATTGGTATTTTATTTGATATTGTTGATGATGGTGGAATAATTGTTTAGGCGAGTCTCGGAAGTAGTGGAGCTGCAAAGAAAACAATCGTTCAGTGTAATGTGGGAAACACAACTCCAATCTTACTGTGTTCGTTGCTGCCAAACAAAATAGAGACACTCAATGTAGGTTTGGAGTTTGACGAAGCAGATGATGTTGTTTTCTCTGTTATTGGTCCCCGAAGCGTTTACCTCAGTGGTTATTATGTCCTTCAATGTCAACGGTCAAATGTGCAGAGTGATACGTATCCTTTTTCCATGTTCTTTCACCTTCAATTCTAACAAAATCATATTCCAGTGTGTGTCGTATTGTTTTTAATTTTTTTGCTCAAAATGCAAATAATCTTGTAGATTTAAATGCCTTGTATGAGAAAATGTTACTTTTTCTATTGTCAAAATTTTATTTGGTTTACATGTTTGGAATTCTCGGCTTCCTTCACTCTGAACCAACAGAGAATCGTATGGTGTGGATATTGAAAACTCTGAGACAGATGGATCTAATTACAATAGCGATGATGGTGATGATAAATACGAGGACAGTTTTATTGATGACGATGGAACACAAGTTTGTCCAAATTATCATGGCAAAGGTATATGTTTTGGATGCTTGCTTATCTGTTCTTTCAAATGGATACTCGTTCCGTATTTATATGGTTTGGTTTTATGTTTTGGACTTGAAGGAATAGATGAGCCGAAGCGCAGAAAGGGTAATGGTGAACAAGTTAAGAAGAAATGGCCATTTGTTGACTCAGATAATGAAGCTAATTCAGATGAAGATGAAGATGAAGATGAAGATGCCGATGCCTACATTTTATCTTCATATAGTAAAGGAGCTGTGAAGGCAAGTCTATTTGATTCTGAAGAAGAATTTGCTAAGATAATTGTAGAAACGGGGGATGAGGCAAACATTGATGGTGCATGTGCTACTGAATCAAATCAGAAGGTTGATCCTTTAGATATCAATGACAATCTAGAGAGGTAATTATCGATTTACTATTTGAGTGTCTGCATTCGTTTTTACATGTTACATGGGGTCTTATTTTCTTGATTTTATATATTTATATAGAGAGACGAAGATACCATTGGATGAAGAAGAATGGGTTGAGGCCAAGGAAGTGGAGACTCGAGAGGAAAATATTGTTTCAAATGAGCAGGTTTTAACTGGCGAAGCAACTCTTGGAAACAATGTAACGAACCCCACCATGAACCAGAATTCGCTTATGAACGATGAGATGCAATCCCCTGATCTGTGAGTATCATCTAATAAAAGTGTTATAATACACTCAGCAACTTTTACATGGTCTAATTTGCCCATTTATTCATTTGCTGTCTCACTAAGGTTTGAGATCTGTGAAATACCAAAAAACAAAAGAAAACGACCATCAGCCGAGGCATGCCAAGTTCAGACAGGTTACGAGGATTCCACTGAGAAAGAGCATCAATTCGAAGCCTCCAGTGACGTGTAAGGGTGTTAAACTATCTAAGTTCATGTATCAATTATTATCAGTAACCTTTACGAGTAGTATTCATCTAGTAAGTATTATTACATGCTCAATCAGGGAAACTGGTACAAATTCTGTGGATGGTCAAAAATCAAGGAAGAAAAGGAATGTAGTAGAGTGCACACAAGGACTTGACGAGAAATGTCAGGATATTCCTGAAAATGATAATAAACACGACCAGGGTTTAGTACAACATGCTGACAGTGTGATACAAAAAGATGTTCCGATATTAAATGTTGAATCTGAGGAACAGCGTAGCTTAGAAGAAACCTCTGCAGAATGTCCTGATATACCGAAAGAGGATAATCTTGAAGAAGGTGTTCTAAGACATGCTGACATCATCATCAACGATCAGCCAGCAGCACCAAATGAAGAGTTTCAGGAACAACGGATTGATACGTTAGTATTTATCTCGTCTTCACTTTTTTCCACTTCTCAATATTCATTCCTCGTGTTAGGAATTAGGATATTATTTATTCTTATTCTGTATTTAAGTTTAAAATTTTTGAAAATGAAGATGACTAGTGAACCGTGGCTTATTTTGCAGATTGTCATTCTAAATGAAAATCAAAACTATATGCCTTGAAAGTTTTAAAAATTAATGAAGATCTTCGCTATCGGAAAATCTTTATCAGAGATAGTAGTTATGCGTTTCCTAGTTTCAGCTGCTTTCTTCTTTGCTCTAGGTACCATAAAAAATTTCCACTGTAAGAATTCTCAAACCTGAATTGTCAGGTGAAGTTTAAAACATCAGACTTGGTCAAGAGACTCTTTAAGTTTAAAACCTATAACTCTTTACTCTAAAAAAAAAAAAAACCTATAACTCTTGAAAATAAATAAATTGAGGCACTTATTTCTAACCTAAAATTAATACAACTCTTTGAACAATAGAAAATGATTTATTTTTGTTTCTTGCCGTAGAAGTAATAATTACCTGTAACTCTATAACAAAATTTGATTCTTGCAGCAATGCCGGCACAAGTCAATCTGAGAAGATGACTAAGAAAAAGAGGAAGAAAAGTAAAACTCGGAGGGACTCGAACACGAATGTGACTAAGATGACGGATAATGAAGAGACAACAAATGCAGTGTCGATTCAAAAGAGGACCTTATCAAATGGGTTGATTATTGAAGAGTTGGCAAGTGGATCACGTAAGGGAAAAGTAGCTACTCCTGGTAAAAAGGTATATTTATATTACCTTCGTCAAACACACACACACACACACACCACACACACACACACACACACACACACACACACACACACACACACACACACACACACATATATATATATATATATATATATATATATATATATATATATATATATATATATATATATATATATATATATATATATATATATATATATATATATATATATATATATATATATATATATATATATATATATATATATATATATATATATATATATATATATATATATATATATATATATATATATATATATATATATATATATATATATATATATATATATATATATATATATATATATATATATATATATATATATATATATATATATGTATATATATGTGTGTATGGGTCTATATATATATATGTGTATATATATATGTATGTATCTGTATAGATATAGAGATATCGATATATGAAAAAGTGTGTGAGAGAGAGTATTTTTGTATATACGACACCTACTTCTTTAAACAAATACTTGCAAATGTTCCATGGCATTTTTACAAAAC